CAATGGTGGCTCTCTATTTTCTTAGAGCAAAGCATGATGGGGATGTCAAAGTTTATTGTAGAGTTGGTTTCAAGCTTAACACCAAAGGGAAATCAAAGGCCTCCTTGAAATTCTTAACCAATAGTTTTCTAGAGATGCATATAGTGTACACATCTACACCACTGACTACCAAGAACTGGACAGAATATGCTGTCCCAGTCACATACCATGATCCAAGTGATTCTTACTTAAGGAATAATTTTCTTTTTTTTTCTCCTAAAAAGGAGTCCATATTATAGAAGTCCATATTATTCCTTTCCATCAATAAAATTCAGAGTTTGTCAAATTATTCAGTGGGGTAAAATCACAATTTTACTGCATTTTTGATGGAGGCAGATTCCTGAAACCATTTCATTTAATGGCATAAATGCCTGGTCCCTGGCTACTTTGCTAAAAATATTTTGAACACTCTACTTTATTGCAAAGATCTTATGGTTGCTCTTTGTGGTTGGAACTCCAGAAAAGTTATCTAACCAGAGAGAAAGGTTTGTCCCAGGGTTAGACTCAGTCTAAAAATCAGATTCAATTCCTGCTCAGCTAGAAGCTTTATGTACAACCTTGGACAAGTCACTTAAGTCTCTGCACCTCAGTTTCCTTTCTATAAAATGAGGGTAGTATCACCTTCATGAGTTTTAATATCTACCTTCTCATCTCTTCTATGAGGTTCTCAGATGCTATGGTCATGAGGCTATATAAGTTCCTGAAAGACTGGTAGTCCTGTCTGTTATAAAATCTATATCAGCTAGTAATAATGTGACAAGAACCTAGGAAAATGTTTAATTATGTGAACAATAGCTGCTGATTTTCGAAATGGAAAAAGAAATGTTATGTGTTTTGGTCTTAAAATAGCCTACAATAAAGGTGTAATTCTTCAATCAGACTACTGATGAATAACTGAAAAGAGCTACAAGTATGAATTGATGTCTGGAAAACATGCCCTATAGTGATACACTTAATCTATTTCATTTGTCCAACAGAAGGTTGAGAGGTGACTTGATCACATTCTTACACATACCTGTCTGGAGAAGAAATTGCTGATGATAGACAATTCTTTATTCTAACAAACAATGAATAATGAGATCCAATGTTGAGAAGCTGAAGCTAGACAAATTAGACTTTAAAAAGTATATATTTATAACAGCGAGGGTGATTAACCATAAGAACTGAACAACTTACCTAGTGCTAGGTGGATCTTCATAAGTTGAAATCTTTAAGATTGGGTATTTTTTCTAAAAGTTGCTATAGCTCAAATAGAAATTATGGGGTTAATGCAGAAATGAGTGGGTGATGTTGGTTTGTAAAAAATCAGGTTAGATCATGATGGTTTCCCTCTGGCCTGGAAGTCTGGGAACATGGGCTGCTTTACTAAAATATCAGTATAGGTAGAAATAATGCATTGCAACAAAACAGATGAATTACAATCTGTTCCCCGCTGAAATATTGAAATCCAGCAGATTTATGTAAATCTGGAAAAGAGAACTCCCAGGCTATTGATGTATCTGACTAAAAATATAATGAACTTAATTCTTTTGCTTAACACTAGAGCAATTCTACAGTAAGTCAGTGAAGTTATATAATGCTTGAAAACCAGTATAAATGAGAAAATAGGGTATGCTGTCTTTGGAGGGCAGCATATTTAACTGCTGTCTGCCATTTGCTGCATAAATATGTCCAGCAACCCAGCCAGAGGTCTCAGACAATCAGTATGAAAGATGGATTCCTTAGGAAACTGTTCTCCTTGTCATAGATGTCAGTGCATCTTGTTCCTCAACCTGAAATGTTAACAAAAATCTTTTAAGACATCCCAAGGAAACCTCAGAATGTGCCTTCCCTATTTCCATGTGTTGAAACTTCTCAATCTCTCTTAGATCCCATTGTCCATCTATTCTGCTATCCTGCCCTGAACATGTGTTGCATGCTTCAGACAGAAGGTATTTGGATTTTTTTTATTTAGTCAATGAAACCCATATTAGGCAACAATATGGAACAAACTGAATGGAAGGGTGGTCAAGGAATGGAAAAACTAGTTTAAAATGAAAACAAGTTCATTGTTTTCATGTATGTTTGGCCTCTTTTCAATGTAAAGGAGAAAATAAAATTAATTACTGAAAATATTATTGAAAATATTTTCAATTATTTGATAAAATAAGTTACTTTTAGCAACCCTTCTCCCTTGCCATGCCAAGATTTTCAAAAAGGCAATTTTTCAAATGCAAATTAAGACCACCTCTACTCACTAGTAAATGATGGGCTGATTTATGGGGTAACATTTTCAAAAGCACCAAGTCCCGTTTTCAAAAGTGACCTTTTGTATCAGTGCCTAAGTTACTCTTGAAAATCAGACTCGGGTTCCTGAGTCATTTAGGCACTTTTAAGGTACTTATCCTCTGTCTTCAAAGAACTGAAGGTTCATTAGACGGTTTTACCAGATCATCCATGCCAACCTTTGTCACAGGCAGCTATTCAGCTACATACATACAAAAAGTCCAACAAGCAGAATTTCAAAATGCAAGTACTACCCAGAAAAAACTAGAATTTCTAGTACCTGAACAGGTATCACTGCTTGGGGAATTTCTAAGGAAGAAGCCATGACAGTATATGAGAATGCACACACTCAGACTTGAAAAGGATGCCCTCCCAGCAACGCAGAAGCTCAGGTTTTGCTGCTGGCCTGAGAAGGAATGTGATCTATAATGGTGAAAATGCTGGAGAGTAGTTTTTAAAAGGAGCTATCTCTTGCTATTAGAACTCTGGAGCTGGTGATAATGTAAAAGCAAATGAGGATTAGAAGGAAGAGTGTCATGCATATGAAGCACTTGCTTTAGAATAAGAGCTTGTCAGGGGCATAGAAAGCAGTATGGGGGTGGATTTGCATTCTCATTAATTGTTTGCATAACTTGTTTTTGGCACGGTGGCTCTTAGCGGTGGAAGGTCCATGTGTTTTCAGACACTAAAAGCAAGTGCTTTCATCAGGGCATGACAAGGAACTACATGGGGGCTGGGCCCTCAGCTGTGGTGGCTCATTGTGCCTCTGCCAACCGAGCTTCACATTCTCCGAGGATCTGGCTTAGTTGTCTGCAGCTCGCTTTTTTGCTGGGGCTCGTGTTCAAACAAACGTCTGCATGTTGCTTTCTCTTTGCCTAGGCCTCCATTCTGTGCCTCTCACCATGGAATCAGAATTCATCCTGCCCTAACATCTAATGCTTCTGGTCTTGCTCCTATGAGTCTCTAAGGCAGGTGGCACTAGGAAAAAGTCTCCAGGATCCAGAAACTAGAGTGAATTGTAAAGCTTGTAGCCTGGGATGAGGGGCGGCAGGTTTGTATAATTTTTGGTGGTGCGCAGAATGGGTCTAGTCCCCTCCCCACCCACCTACCTACCTGCCCTGTAAGCCGATACATATTTTATTAAATAATGTAAAAATGGACTGGACACCATAAGTGTTTAACAGTTTCCCTTTATTGCACAATGTCACTATTGTAAGAAAAAATTATTTAGCTTGTTTGGATGTGCCACTGTGGCACCCAAGTTATTAATAAATACCTTATAAACCTCTACCCTTTCTCTCTGCTGCCATGTCTCCGCCCCGTGCTCCATCAGCTCCCCTGGTGCCTGCTGCCCCCCAACCCCTCACCCTCCTCTGCTGTCCTGACTCAGACTCCTGCCCTTCTCACTGCCCTCAGCCCTCCTGAGACCTGCCTCCCTCCACTAGCCCTTCTCTCCCCGTGCCCACTCCTCCAGTAGCCACACTGATCATGTGAGCCAACCCTCCACCAATGTGCAGGTGTTACCCATATACCTACCGGGTGTGGTTCACTATCCTATGTAGTTGCACTTAGATCACTTACAGGCTGGGTGGGGAACCTCAGGGGAGGGGAGGGGGGCAAATCCGGCCCCAGCTTGCCTGGATCCAGCCTGTGAAGCTCAGGGCTCCCCTCCCCTGCACTGGGGAGCCTGTGCTGGAGTACCAGTCCCCTACTGTCCCACCATTGGGCTGGGGCACACAAAATGTATTAGACTGGGCCCCTCTAGGCTCTGGTGTGCAAGGGGAATGTCTTTTCTGCTTCTCAGTCAGGTGCCACATCAATGAGGGTTTTTTGTGTGCAGTCCCCCCCTCCCCCCCCGGATTTTGCTGTGGGTCAGTGGTCCCAGACACAAAATAGGTTCCCCTGCCTTGACTTACAGAGAGCGAGTTTGCTCTACAGCCTTAGCTGAGAGCCAGCTGGCTTTTAGCTCAAGCTGTAGAGGCTCATGCAGTAAGCTCCAGAGGTCCTGTCTGTGTTACACAGGGAGCAGTAGGTTTGCTCGAATCCTTGCCTGGTGCCTGAGACTTGTGCATGGGGCGGGGGCTGTCGTGGCAGGGCCAGGCTGCTGTGGGTCTGCCGGGGATGGCAGGGGTGGAGGAGCTGGGGTCCTGCAGTTGGTGCCCAGGACTGGGTGTGCGGGTGGATGGGGCTGGCAGCCTCAGCCCCACAGCTGGATCCTTCTTGCCGCACCCCGGAAAGGGCTGCGGAGGGCACCCCCCCGTCATGCTAAGAGCAGCTGCTGGGACTCACTCTGCGAAGCCGGA